TCTCTCAGCTTTTGCTGTTGCCCGCTGAGCCCCCCCCACCTCTCCCCACACAAAATTTCGCTCCTATGCTGGCATAAAATGGACAAGTTTAAGATGCGTGAAAACAAAACATGAGGCTTTTCAGTGAGGGGTTCTTATGAACCATTGGAGGGTGTTCTTATCTCCTGTTTGAACCCTTGTGTTGCCCTTTGGGTCTAGATCAGGCATGGGCAAACTAAGGCCCAGGGGCCGGGTGCGGCCTGTTCAGCTTTGTAATCCGGCCCGCCAAACTTGTCCAAATTTGATAATTGGTTTGTATTGGGATTATACTTCTGTTGTTTCCCTGCAATGCTCACATTTTCCCTATAGATGGCGTAGAGAAGGCTAAAAGCATTTTAGCATTTTAGCTTTTACATGTCATTTATCTCAGTTCACACAACCGCTCCATCTATCTGCTCATGCGGGGTGTGTACAAAAACTATGGATAACGGGAGGGTTAATGTGGCAAGCTGAGTATGAACTCAGTGAAGGTCAGAAAGTAAGCACACAAAAAAAAATGACTGCAAAAAGTTTTGGTTTGCAGCTGACAGGAGAGGGGTGTCTATGACAAACTATAGCGTCTTATTCTGCTGTGCACTTCGAAACGCTGAAAAAGGCGGCTGTAAATAGTGCTATATTCAGCCCTGAAAAAGAAACCCCTAATTAGTACAGTATGTATTGCTGCAGCTTCGGAAACTTTTTTTTTCCCCACAGTGATGTGCAGCCTATGAAATGTAACAACAGAAATAAGATTTTTTTTTTTTTGTGGTAAAATTGAATTTTAAGGTAGAAACATGAGAAGAAAAAAATCACACATTTCTGGATAATCAAGTTACTATTGACAACTTGTCAGGCTGTGGTGGACTCAGTTTATCATACAGAAGGCAACACCACAAATCTAACAAGTTGATAATGACGAAACCTTCTTTGGATGTTGTTGCTAACGTTTGGTGACTTTTCATTTTGTCCTTTGTTTCTTTTTCTCGTAAATGGCACTTTTCTTGGGGACATTGACAATTTGACCATGATTCCACTAAACAAGAAAACGTGCTGCGTGTGAACTACCGTGCTTCAAGCTGCCAAAACTGATGTGATACTGTCCCTGTTTACAGCATGTCAGGCAAAGTTAAGTTGAGCATTTGGGCGTAGGTATTGGATCAGATGGGCTATGTTGTTTTTTCTATGTTCAATCCTGAAATTTTGACCAATATCAAGCCGATCAATGCTGATTTCTATCTATCTATCTATCTATCTATCTATCCATCTATCCATCTATCCATCTATCTATCATCTACCTATCTACCCATCTATCTATCTATCTATCCCTCTATCTATCATCTATCCATCTATCTATCCATCTATCTATCTATCCATCTATCCATCTATCCATCTATCTATCCATCTATCCATCTATCCATCTATCTATCCATCTATCTATCTATCCATCTATCCATCTATCCATCTATCTATCATCTCCCTATCTACCCATCTATCTATCTATCTATCCATCTATCCATCTATCCATCTATCTATCCATCTATCTATCTACCCATCCATCTATCTATCTATCTATCCATCTATCTATCTATCTATCCATCTATCCATCTATCTATCATCTATCCATCTATCCATCTATCTATCATCTATCCATCTATCCATCTATCTATCATCTCCCTATCTACCCATCTATCTATCTATCTATCTATCTATCGATCCATCTATCTACCCATCTATCTATCTATCTATCTATCTACCCATCTATCTATCTATCTATCTATCTATCTATCTACCCATCTATCTCCCTATCTATCTATCTATTCATCCATCCATCCATCCATCCATAGAGATACCATAGTATCTCTATCGATAATTTGGGATGCTTTAAACAATTCCATCAAGAACACTATAACCACATAATACGTAAAATATAATACATATAACATAAGTTACATCAAAAAGATTAAAATACATTATTTACTTTTGCCTTTTGTGAAAACAGAATATGAAACCATATTTTGAAATACCTGTTTGCTTTCTGCAAATGGGGGTTAAGTCGACACAGTGATTTAAAATGACCTCTGCTGTATCATGCTGAGCAACCTCTTTTTATTATCGTCTCCCCTTCTTGCTACCAAAGCCTATGAGATTTAGTATTTCCATGCCTGTCAAGTAAATATGGATATTGTTATTGTTTTTTTTTGTGTGTGTGTTTAATTTCAAGAGCATAGATTTATTTCTATTTCCTTTCCACGGTATCTTTTGCCCTTCCACTGAACCTTTTTATACGCTGCACCATTCAAGCCTCCATCCTTCTGAGTGTTAGAGATTGAGTTAGACAGGAAAGTGTTTTACATTTTAAGAGGGGATCAGGTATAATGCCTGCAGTAGATGCCTACCCAGGAACTCAAGAAAAATGTCAAAAACAGGTAGAGATAGAACATGGTGTTGGAGGGAACGCTGATATCTGGTCTAAGACGTGAACCCGAAAATGATGGTTTAAATAAGCTTATTGTTGGCAGGTCATACAGACTGGACCAAATCATTGGAAGATGACAAAATAACCCTAAAAAAAACCAAAAAACAATCGACCCTATAAAAAAGTAAAAAATATGGATGTCAGACAATATTGACCAACCGATATTAACATAATTTATGTAATATTGGTTAGAATTGTTATCAGCGTTTGACTCCGATAATGAAAACCCGATAACGCAATGCCTGGGTTGCACTCAGATGATGTGACCAAAAAAATAGTTTTGAAGTGAAAGTGAATTATCGTCATCAGAACACAGCATACACAACGAAATGTGACCTCTGCCTTTAACCCAAACGGCTACATACATTAGTAACTGTTCTGTTCTTCAATCTGAGATGTTTGTCAATATAGGCATCGGTAAAACGTTAATATCGGACATCCCTAGTAATAAGAGAATTTCTATACAAGCAGAACTTTTTTCAAAATCCAAAAATGCCACAATCAGAATGATTTGGAGTTAACCATGGGGGAGATTTTGCACAACTCTCCCTTTCACTACCTTGTCCCTTTGTAATAACTTTAAAATTTCAAGGCAATTTATATGGAAATTCACCAAAGAGTGAAAGTGAAAAGAAGTCATGTGGATTAGTATAAAAAAAGAAAAAAAGACCCAGCTAGAAACCTAGGCCAAAAAACCCCTATTGAATTTATGTTTAATATTAAAGTATTGGTTTAAAAGTAAAACACCTTGTCGATATTAAAATTTTAACTATTTACCACAGGTCAATGGACTTGTTAAGTTGGCATTGCCAAAATACGATATGCTGTTATTGTCCAAACACTTTCTACGCCATCTATTGGGGAAACATGGGTATTGCAGGGAAAAGGCAGAAGTACACTGATAATATAAATTATATAATTTATATTTAATTATATAATTATATATATTATATATATTAATTATCTAATTTAGACAAGGTTGGCGGGCCGGATTAAAAAGCTGAACAGGCCACGTCCGGCCCCTGGGCCTTAGTTTGGCCATGCCTGCACTATACTTTAGTCCATCAAGATATATTTAAACAATCTCCTTTGGACTAAAACACATCAGTTATTAAGGTATGTGGAATTTCAACCCTGCAAGACTCCCCATTGATCACATTATTTATTTATTCATTTTAAAAAAATGTTTTTATAAAATCATTAAACCAGAGGGGTTTAATGAGGGCCCCTACTTAAAATTAGGAGAACTAATTGAGAACTAAAAAATGTAAATGATCTTTTAATGAAAAACCTCTCACTGAGACTAGACACTCCCTAATAAATACATTTAGACAATTAAGTAACTAGTGGTGAGGTAAATGTCAATGGTCAATGGTCTTCTCTGGGATTTTCTTCCCCAGATTATTTATTTATTTATTACCAAGAATAGGTCACCAGTCAAGGACTGCTAAGGATCAGTCATTTAAAAACAATACTCAAACGGACTCCCACACTAATAGAATGCAGATGTATTATTGCAGTGGTTCTCAAACTTTTTATACTCTGTACCACCTGAGAAAACATTGAGTCCTCTGAGTACCACCATGATGACCAACATTAGAATATAGCAGCACTGTTAGCTTCCACCACACAGGAGAGATGTTTATAAAGATGTTTATGTTTAAATGTTGTATTAATTGTGCATGATATGTTTCAGATATATTCAATTGAAAATGTAAAGGTGAAAATATGAATTTTCCTCACGTACCGCTAAAGAGCGCTCGCGTACCACTGGTGGTGAGCGTACCACAGTTTGAGAACCACTGTATTATCGAATCATTGGCTGGATTATTGGCCTGGTAGCAAAAGACCCAGTGACCGGTCCCCGTTAGCAGACTGAGGTTTGGGGACTTGTGCTCTCACCTCATTTAAATATCATTGTGAGTGTGTGCTCTCACCTCATTTAAATATCATTGCGAGTGTAACTGATTCGAAAAGCACAGTAACAGTACAATTTCTCTGCAACCCTCTTGTTGACTAGTTGCACTTTTAGAACACACCCCACGGGCACCTGAGGTAGACAATGGGGGCCACCAGGTGCAACATGTTGGTGACCCCTGCTCTGAGGTATACAGATCAGCATTAAAAACATAGGGGTAAAAAAAAAAGTGTATTTCATTTCAAATAAATTCCTAAACAAGATAAAAATGGAACACAATAAAATATGCTCCATCTGGATGCAACACCCACTGTAGTATATATTTCTATACAGGGTCCTGCAATTGTTGGCAGGATCAGTGTGTTATATGTTTGTCGGTATGGTATAAAGCTTAAGCTGCAGAGCTGAGACTCTGTAGTAGGAAATCATAGAATCACGGTCAGCACGAGCAATACCGTCTACTGCATTTTTTAAATGTCTTTTTACAAAAGCTGACATTTACTCTGAATGATAAAATATAACATCGCCACTTGCGTAAACGATGTGCCATATGTTTCCGAGGATATGGTGGTGAAAAAATGGACTTACTTGGATCAGACAGGACGGAGTCGGTCTTGGGCAGAAACTGGTCACAGCGAATTCCCTGGTAGCCTTCTCGACACCTGGGAAAATAAACATGCAGAAAATTAATGATGTGTCAGAGAGTCAGGTAGGTGTTCCAGAAAAAATAAATGTCCCTACAATGAATGTAAATGTAAGAGCTGCACATAAGCAGCCTGTTCATGTTATGAGACAAATGTAGGTAAGATCAGTCTTCGTGGGAGCCAAGGTAGTGGAAGAAAAAAACTGTAAAGCTGACAGTGAGTAATGACAGCAGCATGATATATTTTTTAAATAAACCTACAGTTGAGACCTGAAACCAAAAACCAGTGTTGCAATGGCAAAGGGGATTTTTACAGTTTTCCCCACAAAGTGACGACATATTCTTTTTTATGTAAAGAGCTTCGTAATTAAATTACCAATGTTTAAGCTATTTTTTGTATACATTAATAACTCTAATAATAAAGCTGCACAAAATGTGAATCTACGTTTGAAAATGCAGAGAATAAATGATAAAAAAAAATTGTCAAAAATAAAAAAAAAACAAAATGACAAATCTAAATTCTAATCTTATTAGGAAAAACAATTTATTATTAAAATAGTTAGTTATAATTCATTATTATTATATTAAGTATTAAAATAGGTAATTATACATACGTGTGTGTGTATGTGTGAGATTATTCACAGGTCTGTCAAAAAATAAAGTTAAAGATACAATTTAACTAAAAAAAAAAAAAATCTTGTAACACTTGCACTCTTACTCTCAAGGTTTATTAAATTATTAGAGTTGAAATCGCAAGGCAAATTAGGAAAAGAAGGCAGTCCACGCTGCGATCATTAAGTACCTAATGGAATCTAAAATGTACTTCAGAACTGTCCTGGAGTAAGGCAAAGATATGTATTTAATTAGCCCCAGCTCAATGAATATCCCCCTTTGAACATATGCACGCGCAACTGTGCCCTACAGATAGCATGGAAGCTAAACATTCAGAAAGCAGTATGAAGACTAATTGGGTGCCTGGGAGATTGTGATATCTGCAGTATCCTCAACTCTGGCTACGTAGTCACTTTTTTTTTGTCCCTTGACCTCTTCAGAAAAATGCTTGGCAACTTGCAAAAAAAAAAAAAAAAAACTAAACAAAAAAAGAAAAACACACTGGAAACATCTGTCTCAGGAACCAAATTTCTCAAAGTCAACCTCCGTTCTGTTTCCCGACTCCGTTAGCCGTCTACTTTCCCCTACACCTCTAGGATGAACTGATATTTACTCTGACAAGCTGACAGCAATTTAAATTGACTGTATGTACTGCTGTGCATATTTTTTTTTCCCCCCAAAGCTGGAGGAACATCCAGCCGCAGCGCTAACCACACGCTTCAAGCACATCTCGGAGGTAGGCTAATAATTAAGACGTGCGGAGGGGCAGCATTGGTGAAAATATAAATAGGATATGAAGTGAATTTAAAAATATACGAACCCATCAAAAATGGATTTTCTCTCCTTGAACTCTAAGGTGCTGGCTACAGTGCATGGAAATGTATCTTAACAAATCTCTTGGCAACCGTATAATTGTTTCCCCGCGCTCCAGTGCGACTGCCAGGTGCATTCAAAAGAAATCAATTTTTACAGTGTTTTCAAAGGTTTTGTAAACGCAAACAAAAATACCTTACCTAATACCTAACAGTCGCCAAAGTTACACATTTAATAAGCAAAAAGACAGTCGTGTTTTGTTTTACATGCCTGTGTTGTGCACAGGATGACATGAGCAATTTGGCAGCAAAGTCCCGTGTGACATTATTAATGGTCGGAAAAGAAACAGCAACATTTGGGCAATAAAAAGTTGAGAAGATATGAGATGGATATCTCACAATATCCTCTGCACGCTCTAATTGTAAAGTTCTTATAAATGGACTGAGCTAAAAATGACCCTGGAAATTTTCAGTGACGAATGCCTCGATTATTTTCGTCGGCTTCAGCTTTATTCACTTTGAGCGAGTTCTGCTTCATATGTTACAATCAAAATCACCATCCATAACCGTTACGCTGAAACTCAAAACTGCAGTCACAACGAATATGCTTTAGATTGACTGTTTCTGAAACAAACAAAAAGAGAGAAGATGAACAAAACGTGAAGTGAACCCAACTAGAATTTTTTTTTCTTTAGGTACTGGACAGAATTCCTTGCAAAACCCCCCCTAGGTACTGGACAGAATTCCTTGCAAAAAAAACCACTATAAAATCATTTAAAATAATTCTACTCAGTTATCGTTAGATGGTCAAACAAACTATTTCCCCCTTTCGAAATTAAAGCAGCCCAAAAGGTTTCCATCCACTGGAAAAGCCCCAAAAAAGATGCTAGTCCAAAGTTAATAGCTGGATAATGTTAGCCCAGTACTTCTCAAATAGTGGGGCGGGCCCCCGGGGGGGAGTGTGGTGAGGTGCATGGGCGGTCAGGGGGTTGGGCTTCCAATGGAAAATGGCACGCTGGACAGAAGTGTACAGCTGCAATAATGCTTGGACGATAAACAAGCCTCCAGTCACTAGGTGGCAGCAACTTATACAGTGGTTCAGAAAATACAAATTATTAGGTTCTTAATATATCAGTATTTCAATTGGGGGGAGGGGGGGGGGGGGCGTGGAACGTTTTCTTCCCCCTAGGGGGGGGGGCATGACAGAAATTAACTGAGAACGACTGGATTAGCATAACGTTAGCAAAGACTAACCCTAGAGAACAGCACAAGACAGGAAGGGGAGCTAATTGCTAATGCTAAAAATGACAAAACACCACATGAATAAAACAAAAACCTCATACTTCTACTTGAAATTTGTGTGGTGAAAATCTCAAACTATAGTACCAAGGTATCAGGATTAAAACCTGCCTGTTGGTTTACCCCTCACTATTTATGTATTTAATATAAAGTCTCAACTCTTTAACTTGAAAGTTGATAAATTCTTCAGGTAAACTCGTGGGTAGAGTCTGATAAAATGTCATATGTCAAGGTTATGAGCATTTCGTACAAATGCACCGCAAATTCCTCGTCAGTCTGGGTATAACCTCCTTTATACACATACCTCAGTCCCACTAGAGCGGCACTAAGGCTAAAGAAAAGAACAAGTCAGGTTGAAATGAATCAAGTGTTTTTCGGTCCTCAGTGAATGCGTTGACAGCTCTCTGCCTTGCACTCCGGTTCTGTAAATTACAGAATCTGTCCAGTCCAAAGAGAGTGGATTGTTCAAATGAAGATACATTTCTGAAACCTTGTTCTCTGCAAACTCAGTTGTTACATTGCAATAAGACAGGGAACATCCATCATTTCCACAGATTTCTCCCATAGATAGTAAAGATGTGAACCCAATTTTTTTTTTTTTTCAATTGTCAGAGAATTGAACAACCCTTTCTATGGAAGGCCAGCCACCAACAATAGCACGGTGTAGCTAACAATGTCAGCTAACTACATTAATGGTGACAAGAGAGTTGTGCATTTTCTAAGGAGAAAGCAGAGAAAATTTGGGTACCACTGAATCGGACAGATGTTGTTTTTGCTTTTCAGTTTATCTTTCACTTTCTTCAAAACCGTATTATACTGTATATATGGAAAGAAATATTCTGTTTTCCTGTTTTTTTTTTTAATAAAATGATTGAATTGAGATGAAAATAACTGAATAGAAAAGTTCTCTCTTCTGGTATTGAGTTGTTGTACGTACCCATACCCATGCCTAATGTTCACAGGTTACATGACAGGTGTTTTTCTCCAACATTTAATGAAATGTCAACAACTGTTCCCAGTCTCAACGGACTGAACTTGCCTTCAGTTAAACACAAAGGTTTTGTCAACCTTTGTGAAACAAGTAGGGAAAACAGGATCCCTGAACATGTGTTTCTGTTTCGTTTCTTTCATTTGTTCCCCAATCATTCTATATTGATTTTTTAATTATTTTTTACATGATCCCTATTATGAAATTTGCATAAAATTAGTTTGAGAATTCTATTGTTAATTATCAAATACTAAACAAAAACTAGAACGGTGGTTTTTATACGACAGAAGCTTTTTGGGGCAGCGGAAGGTTCGAAAAATTGTTTTGAGAAATTACTTCCTGTAGTGCTCTGGCCAACAAACAAGATTCACATAATTGCTGTAGATAAAGATTTTCTGAGTTAAAGGTTGAATGTGCTCCATTCAGGATATCAATTGATTTCCAGAAAAATGGCCTGTATAGACCCATAATCACAAAAGTAGCTTTTCAATACGCCCATAAGTCGCAAGAAAGGAAAGAACATCTTCTTTTCAGCTCAAATTGATCAAAGTAGATCTGGGGAGCACTTTAGCTCACTGGGGAGATTTTATTCTAAATGCACCCTCCCTTATTTTTACAGTACAACAAAAACCTTAAAAAGAAATTGTAAAAGAAAATCAAACTAACAGAAATGCAGCATTAAAAAAAGCTGACATACGGCATTCAAAATTGACTAGGGTTGCTACACATATTTGTGTCTCTGGAGTGCCTGTCTACTCCTTAAGAGACAGTTTCCACCACTAAGTAGAAATGTGTCTCAAAACGAGCTGTTTCGAGTTTGTCGCAAATTGTGTGAGCGTAGTTGTTTGAAGAAGAAAAAAAAACAAGACAAGAAAAGTCTCATTTAGATTCTCTGCTGTCAACTCCCTCATATCCACGTTTAATCTTGGATTTCCACTTTCTACCTGTTCTGCGTTCGACTCTGGCTCAAACATGTAAAAGATTTGTGTTGCCAATCACCATTTTCCGATAAAGACCCCAAAACAACTTCCGAACACGTAGAACGTGTAGAGATGCCAGCTGTGCTTCTTGATCAAGTATTTCGCCTAAGGCATGTTAGACATCAAGCAACCATATCAATTTTCATAAAATATGAATTCCTAGACATGTTACACATTGACAGATTTCACCTTATTTTTTCCCTTTAAATGTTTATAGTGTGAAGGCCTCTAACTGCAACTTAGAGAGCCCGTCTATTAATAAATAAATCATGTTTCTCCCTTAATGTTCCTTGCACTTTAGGGTTGTCTTCCTTTTCACTTGTGATGTCACACCTTCATCTCTAAGATCCATTATTTCATTTCATCAACCTACTGTTTTGATTAACCCAATTCTGTCTTTTAGTCCTGCATAAATTATTTAGAAACAACAGGTGGGAAAGTGCACTTCATAAAAATCCCTCATAAAACCAAGAGATCAGATCTGTCCTCCTGAATGGTGTTATCAAAGACGTGACTTCGTCTCCTACCTGAGACCCAAACAGTGCATGCTCATACCAGAGGTGGGACCAAGTCACAAGCAAGTCTCAAGTCTTTGCACTCAAGTCCGAATCAAGTCTCAAGTCAAAATAGGCAAAGTCCGAGTCGAATCCAAGTCAAGAATGAAAAGTGGCAAGTGAAGTCCCAAGTCCTGCCGTTTCTGTTTCGAGTCCTTTCGAGTCCACTCACTGCCACTCGTTTTTTGTTGACCATCTCGTAGTTTTTAAATCCGAACAACACGATCTTTGGTATCATTTTCTCTAACCGGTGCATTGTTCGACAGCTCTTTCTCATTGGTTGTCCCGCAATTTGATTGGCTCAATATTATCGCATCAAAACAACGCGGGTCTAATTTGATTGGATGTTGTGCCGACAGCACGTACACACACAGACGCACACACATACACAATGAGAGATACAGAGCGCTCCTTAATAACTTACTTTATAATCTTTGGGTTTTGGAGAAAGTATCGAGTCTTGTCGAGTCAAAGGGCTCGAGTCCAAGTGAAGTCACGAGTCATTGATGTTAAAGTCCAAGTCAAGTTGCAAGTCTCTTTACATTTGGTCAAGTCGAGTCTAAAGTCATCAAATTGATGACTCAAGTCTGACTCGAGTCCAAGTCATGAGACTCGAGTCCACACCTCTGGCTCATACTGTGTATAATATAGTTATCAATAATATATCTAGCAACCTGAAATAACCCCAGAGACTAATATAGAATATAACATATAATACAAACTATGATGTATTTACAGCGATGTCCGATATTAACTTTTTGCCGATATCCGATATGCCAATATTGTCCAAACACTTAGTTTCCGATTCCAATACCAACTGATTCAGATATTTGCAGCAGTTCGCGTTAAAGGCAGAGGACACATTTAATTGTGTGACAAAACTCAGAAAACATTGCGTTAACAGGTTTTCATTATCAGCAAACAAACTGATATCGAGTCTTACTTATATAACATCATTATGCTAATATCGGTATGCTAATACCCTATAATATCGGCAAACCAATATCAACGGACATTCTTAATTATTTAATATATAAAAATAAAATAAAGGTAAAAAAAATTATGGAGGGTGAAAAAATGAACGATAGGGAGATATAAAAATAAAATAAAGGTAAAAAAAGTATGGAGGATTAAAAAATTAACGATAAGGACGAAGAGGCACCTGGACAGAATTTGTCAAACTAGGAGACATAAAGGAAAAGGCTAGACTTTTGAAGGACAAAGAATCAAGTATGGGATCATGGAGATAGTACTAGAAACAGGAGGAGAGTATATCTGATCACAAGTCAAACACATCAGGTGGTATCAACAGTCGCAAGAGCTATAATAAAACAAAGGCATGGAAAATAACAATGACCAAATTCAGACTCAGTAAAACAAAGGCATGGAAAATAACAATGTCCAAATTCAGACTCAATCAATCAATCAATCAATCAATCAATGTCAGTTAAAAGGCTTTTAAATATGACTTTGATAGATACAGGTACAGACACATATATGTTTATATATATGCATGTACACAGTCGTTGCAATAAAGGTATTGATTTGTTCAAATCCCAAGATGCACCAGTGTTGTTCCGAAGCCTAAGGCTATGATAGTGACAGCCTGACTGCACCAGTGAGAGGACAGAGCTCCCAGGATTGCTCAGCTGTTAAGGGACTCTCATTCCTCCTGACCTACACCTTTTGGTGTAAATGTCATCCAGGTTTTGGAGGGTGGATTTGACGGACTTGACTACTCTTCTGCGGTCAGAAAGGTCATCGACATTTGCACAGGTATTTAAAACTCTTTCACCACCTCTGTCCCACTAATCCACAAACCAGGCAGAGCCTGCCGTTTCCTGCCAAAGTCAACAACTACTTGTTTATGTAATTTAGAGATGACCGAGAGAGGCTTTCTCAACCAAGACACCGCGGCTGCCCTCTGCTAAACTGCTTCGGTCAACAACACGTTCTTGTCTTTGTGTAAGTATTAGTTCTCTTTGTTTTCTGTGTAAATAGCCAATGGTGCTCGCTGAAAGTAAACAACTTCTTGAGTGGAAACGTTGTCGAAGCCAAAATAATTAAAAAAGAATTCATCCTGTTTATTGTTTCCGAGGCTGAACTTCTGTACTTCTCCTCCTGGCAAAGTTCAGAATGCAGTTCCAGTGCTCAAACAAGATGAGCATAGTTAAAAGGAGGACCCAGCAGTAGCAGGCATGACCAGAAGACTATGGTACAATGATGCGAGCGAGAATTCTCCCTGGCTTAAGGAGTACATTGTTACTGCTTACTGATTGACTTAAGGGCACATCTTCAACATACTACTGGATACCTTTCCAAACTGTCTCAACAGTCATCATTGATTTAGAACAAACCAGACCACAGAGCTCTAACATTAGGCTAGTCTGCTGTAATTCCGTTTCTGGCCAGCAGGGGAGCTCTAACACCAGGCTATTCGGCTGCAATTCCTATTTTTGGCCAGCCAGAGGAGCTCTAACCCCAGGCTATTCTGCTGCCATTCCTATATTTGGCCAGCTGGGGAGCCCTAATGGCAGGCTATTCTGCTGCAATTCCTTCCTGGACTGCTGGGGGAGCTCTAAAACCAGGCTATTTTTCTGTACATTGTCACTGGTTACTGCTAGACTTAAGGCACATCTTCAACATACTCCTGAATACATTACTAAACTGTCTCAACAGTCAACATTAACTCACAAGTGTAATACATCTTATCACTCACCAGGCCATGCTTGTCATGGAAGATACATAATATGCCTAAACATTGACAGCAAAATAAGTCACTCATGCTAATAACACTTGAGAATATAAATAAATAAATGAATGTACACAGAGAAAAGTAGTAGGTCCTCGACAAGTTCCGGTGCGATTTAACTTGAGATTTCGGAAGCGTCAGTCTTACGTTGGAGAAAGCAAATGTAGCATATCCAACGTATGGCGTACAACCTGTGAATGTAAACATATACTGCTGCTTGCCAACAAGTTTGTTTTGAGCGCTTGTATCATTTACAAAGTGTATTTACAGTTTTTATGTTCTTGTCATGTTTCTCATCTAGGATACTGGCACATTTAACATGTTTCTAATTATTATGATGCTGATTAAAAATCTTGGAAGTGAAAAGAAAAAGAAAAAAAAAACACTAAAAAAGTCAGTCCAGCTGCCAAAAGGAATTGCTTTTGTACTTGAATGGTAAATGGAGCGGTTGACCTCAGCTTTCCCAGTGAATCAAGACCCAACGACTACAACAATTACACTTCACTACTTATGCACCTGCATGCATCTGTCCATTATAAACTGCACATCTTTGGGAAAAGCTGCAGTAAATTAAGTGTTAAAACTAGCCCAGAAGCAGTCTTCCGTTTTACCACGTAATTTATTTTTGGTATTTGTTACCATTAAAATGCCACATCCAACGTCTGCTGTTCCAACCCTATACGCTTAAGACTGGATTATTTGAGACTCTAATTTTGGTTAAAAAACACCCCTTTGAAACAAAGATGTAAACCAACACCTTGCATTCTGATCGTGTTATTAATTATATTTTAATTATAGGTGATTTTTTTTTTTAATTAAATTATTTGAGTGTGTAATCAGGCTGCTAAACTAAAACTGAGGCTGTAACGTTGTCCAATGATTTCAACTTTTTTATTTCATGATTAACTATCAGTGCTAATATACTGTATAGAAATCGTTGCTGGACATTAAATAGGCTTTTTTTAAAAAATAATTCTAATTAATTTCAGTTCTAATGTGACGCTCGGGTCTTATTGTGCTCTGTTACTAGAGTGAATACTGCTTACAGCTGCGATGGAGAGTAAAGTTTCGGGGGGACTGTGCTGGGATAAATGCGATGGCCGGAGCTGGCCATGATGACTTTGGCACTGTCACGCCAAGGTCTTCAGTCTAACTCTGCTGTAATGAGCCTGTCACCACAGTGTGAGCCATAAGAGATAGGCTGGCCCCTATCAACCTGGTCCACAGCGCCACAGTCAAGGATGAGTAGTTCTCTCTCTCTCTCTCTCTCTATGTGTGTGTGTGTATAAGTGTATTTAAAATGGAATTATTTATAGCCCGATTTTGTATTCTCAGGAATCCTGGTTCCATCTGTGGTGTTTGAAGGCCGACTGAAATACTATAATCCTACTGTCTACCGAGCCTCAGTTTAAGTCAACTCTTATCCCTCACCTAGAATAAGCACATTTCAAACGATGCCAAACAATTGCTTGAATCTCCTTAAATTATTATTTGAAGGCCACGCACAAACAGTGCGAGATTTTTTTCTTCCCATTTTGTATTTCAATTTAAATCATTGTATATGTATCAATCGAAAAAGTATTCAATCAATGTAATGTTATAAATAGCTAAATATTGAAATTCTAACCACATTTCATGTTTGAATGTACACTCTGTGTTGTCACGTTGAGGTCTTCCAGCTTTTCCAGCTCCTCTGCACCCACCCACACTTTGCACAGCTATATTTACTTGTCGTTGCACTTCTCTGTTGGTTTTACTGACTTTGTTAGGAACGAGTGTTTACTCTTATAAAGAAGGAAATAAAAACTTTAAAGTAAAAATGCAATAAAATTGTATACAAGTATTCTTTTCAAAAGCTTTGTTATAAAACAAAGAAGAGTGGCAGTGCTTCTATAATTTTCTTTTGACCAGCTGGGGGAGCTCTAACATTAGGCTATTCTGCTGAAATTCCCATTTTTGGCCAGCTGGGCAGTGCTAACGAAAGGGTATTCTGATGCAATTCCTACTTTTGGCCAGGTGGGGAGCGCTAACACTAGGGTATTCTGCTGCAATTCCTACTTTTGGCCAGCTAGGGGCGCTAACATCAAGCTATTCGGCTGCAATTCCTTTTTTTAGTCAACTTGAGGAGCTTTAAGGCTAGGCTAATCGGCTACCATTCCATTCAAGACAGCTGGAAGAACTTTTAAACCAGGCTGTTTTGCTGTGATTCCTTTTTTTTAGTCAACTACAGGAGCTCTAAGGCCAGGCTATTCGGTTAGCATTACTTTTCAGACAGTTGGAGGAGCTCTAACACCAGGCTAATCTGCTGCAATTAATTTTCTTGACCAGCTGGGGGAGCTTTGACACCCAATTTCTACATGAAGTTATGTGAGTTCAGTACCCGTGGCTTTTGCCTTATTCTAAAACAGTCAGAAACCTAGCAAGGATTTGATTGTCAGTCAGGTGAGGTTGAGTAGGCACAGGACCCTGGCTCCATTAGAGAAAAACACAATAAAAGGGAATTAAGGCTAGGCTAATCGGCTACCATTCCATTCAAGACAGCTGGAAGAACTTTTAAACCAGGCTGTTTTGCTGAGATTCCTTTTTTTTAGTCAACTAGAGGAGCTCTAAGGCCAGGCTATTCGGTTAGCATTACTTTTCAGACATTTGGAGGAGCTCTAAAACCAGGCTATTCTGCTGCAATTAATTTTTAAAAGTCCAAAAAGTACTTTATATGAATATTTCAAAAATCACAAAACCATGAGTGAGGGGTCAAAATTGTATTTTATGTAAATATTTCAAAAATCAGCAAAAAGTCCCCGAAATGAAATGCCTTAAAATGCAAGATTATGTCCTAAAACATGCTGCCAAGTGAATATTTTGTGTTTAGAAGTCCAAAAAGTATTTTATATGAATATTTCAAAAATCACCCAAAACCATGAGTCAGGGGTCAAAAGGGTATTTTATGTAAATATTTCAAAAATCAGCAAAAAGTCCCCGAAATGCACTAAAATGCAAGACTATGTCCTAAAACATGCTGCCAAGTGAATATTTTGTGTTTAAAAGTTTTTTCAGCAGAAACCATTCAGGCTTTATACTTTGTGTGACTCAATAAAGCTCTGTGTTTTCATATTGCCAGACTCGTGTGCCTTTTTATTTTTAGACTTGGTCATTTTTGGATAAGAGAAATTTCTAGACAGCAGCCTTCGGTTAGAACTTTCAGCCATCAGCTGAGCCATGAGCACCAGAGCCACAGACAAGGCTGCCATGTGAGCAGCGACTGATCCAGGCTGAGAGTGCCAGACCTGCTTAAAGAAACATCCACATCAGAACAAAAATGAAAAAGACTCAAACATACTGTAGATCACACAGATCAACTCTTATTTATGCAGTGGATTGCTGCAATCACACCTACTGTACTGTGTGGAATCCATATATTTTTATGTCTACGACAGATAAAGTAACGACATAAGCAGAGTGCACCTGCTATACAGCATGGTTTATTGTTCACAACAGCAATATGTCACTGCTCCTAGAAAGACAAGTGGACACACACTTGGGCTTAGGGTGAAATAGCTGCAGGGATCCAACTATTGGACATTTTAACACACCAATGAGCTCTGTACATTACTAACAGTCGACTCCCTTTCTATGCACAGTGGAACCTTGAGATACGACCCATCTTAGGACTCATCACCACTATGAAGAATAATGCACAAAATAGAGAGAAAACCACACTGATAACGCTACGTTCAGAAGAGATGCTTATGGAAGTCGAGTGAGGCGGCATGTGCTGCTCCAGGTGCTCGGCCATCTAGTGTCGCCGTCTGTAAGTGTGGCTGTATCTCACTCGGCCATCTAGTGTCGCCGTCTGTAAGCGTGGCTGTATCTCACATCTTTACTCGTGTCTCGAAGCAAAAATTTACTCAAAGGCTTGCTCGGAACTCTGTGTGTGTTCAATAACTTTTTCCACTTTGCCCATGCTTGCCATGGTCATTCCTCAGCAACAGTGCATCAGCAATGCCTGAGGTGGAAGCAATAAAGCAATAAAGCACAGCTTTAAGGAACATACCATACAATGATAACTGAAACCCATTTAAGAAATTCCTGAACCCCCAAATGTAGCTAACCCATACATGTTCTCAGTCATTGTTTAGGGTGCAGGGCGCAGGGACTGCTGGGTTCTGCACCATTGGGCAGCAACAAGTCTGCTCCGAAAACTTCTCCAAACCCATCTTAGAGCACCAGGAGGTGACATTGAGCACATTTTAGCTGTCATTGTATTCCAATTCGATGTTAACAGTGATAATTATTGGACGTAATCACTGGTGCAGGCCCATTCGAATACTGATGGGATTCTGTATGGAGTTTTCTCCTCGTATGTGAATGGGTTTTTTTTTTGGCATGAAAAAGGATGAAGGTCAGCTGGAGCAAGACTGCACACATCTGATAAACCTGCAAATAGTAAAGATAGTGAAGGTGGATGAGTTTAAATATCCGGCATCAACTATTTAGGCACGTGGCCAATGGACAATGGACAAAAGAGATGAAGAAAAGGGTGGAGATAGGGTGGTCCGGATGAAGACGAGTGACGAGTGTTGAAAAGGAAGGTCTATAAGACAATAGTGAGATCTGCCATGATGTGAGGTTTAGAGCAGGCACGGGCAAACTCCGGCAACTAAGTTGCATCATTTATTTATATTATCATTGTACTTCTGCCTTTTTCCTGTAATACCCACGTTTCCCCAATAGATGGCAGAGAAAATGATAAAAGCATTTTAGTCTTTATGCATGACTTTTACATGTAATTTATCTTAGTTCGCACAAACGCTCCATCTCTGTGCTCCTGACCCGGCCTGCCTGTTTTTTTTGTTTTTTTTTGACAATTGTGGCCCGCAAGTCAACAAGTTTGCCCACGCCTGGTTTAGAGACTATTTTGCTGGGAGTGACCACGATGGACAGGATTAGAAATGAGCAGATAAGAAGGATAGTGTAGCTTAGAGATAAAGAGATCCAGTTGAGATGGTTTGGACATAAGAAAATTGGTTTATTGGATAAATAGAAAATGTTCAAGATAAAGTGGAGAGGAGATTTATGGATGTAGTAAAAGAGGACACGGACATTGTTGTTGTCAAATAAGAGGATAGGGTGAGATGGTGATCCTTGAAGGGGAGCCGAAAGAAGAATTCAAATAATTCAGTCTGATTCAATCGTTGTTCTAGAAAATATTTACATAACATGGTGAGAAAGTCAACTTAACAGTTGAACGTTTGCTTTATTACATGGTTTTGTTTACTCCTGCATTATTTTTGTTTGTTTTGTGTTTACAGTGCAATAGCAACCCCATGGTTTGATGCAGTCAGACACAAGATAAATACTTATACACTCAGAGTGTATACTGAGGTTTTTTATGTGCAAAAATGTCATGTCAGGCAATGCAAATATTGTGGGGTAAGCAACAATCTCTGTGTGTTTTTGTGTGGGTGTGTGAGCTTGTTCAATTGTGTGTGTTTCCCTTCTGTCACTAAAGCTGCCGCCATGGTAATGTTGATTTATTCCATCAGTGTTTGATGCAAGTCTCTGGATCCTCTGATGCAATATTTTTTGGTGAGTTTTTAACTGTTTTAATTTAAATCTGTTTTTTTTTTTTAATAGTTTATTATTGGTAACATGGCAGATGTGGCTAGCGCACTTTCTTTACAGCAACATAACTGCTTTGGTGATGTCGAATTTACACGTTCCCCCATGAGTGCTTGGGTTTGATCTTGGCAGTCTGCATATTTTACACAGAACTGGAAGCATGGGGAAATAAGTTGATAGTTAGTTAATTAGGTTTAGTAGTTAGTGGCAGGTGTTCCTTTATTTTGCCCCTCAGCAGGGCTGACAGCGTGTAATATGTACGTAGGAAAAGTAAAATCAGCATGCATCCTTGAGCCATACACGTGAATACTCAGGGTAGCCATTAAAAGTAAAAACTAAAATGTATCCCATCTATTATCATATCTTTACACATCGGAAAAGCTGCTGATTTTCTTTTCTTTTTTTTCAACTTGTCATTGTGACAGCGAAATGTGACCTCTGTATTTTGCCCATCACTATAAGGAGCAGGGGGAAGCTCAATCACCCAGGGAGCACTGTGTGGGGACAGTGCCATACTCTAAAGGGGTAATTTTGCAGCTTGTGGATTGGAACCTGAAACCTTCTGGACCCAAGTTCGCTTCCTTAACCGCCAAGCCACCACTGCCCCACCCAATTAATAACAAGGTTATCTAGTTTCAAATCGTCATTCATTAATTTGAATCACTTTTTTTAATTCACTATTTTATCTAATCTACTTATCATGAGTTTAAATATCCGGCATCAACTATTTAGGCACGTGGCCAATGGACAATGGACAAAAGAGATGAAGAAAAGGGTGGAGATAGGGTGGTCCGGATGAAGACGAGTGACGAGTGTTGAAAAGGAAGGTCTATAAGACAATAGTGAGATCTGCCATGATGTGAGGTTTAGAGCAGGCACGGGCAAACTCCGGCAACTAAGTTGCATCATTTATTTATATTATCATTGTACTTCTGCCTTTTTCCTGTAATACCCACGTTTCCCCAATAGATGGCAGAGAAAATGATAAAAGCATTTTAGTCTTTATGCATGACTTTTACATGTAATTTATCTTAGTTCGCACAAACGCTCCATCTCTGTGCTCCTGACCCGGCCTGCCTGTTTTTTTTGTTTTTTTTTGACAATTGTGGCCCGCAAGTCAACAAGTTTGCCCACGCCTGGTTTAGAGACTATTTTGCTGGGAGTGACCACGATGGACAGGATTAGAAATGAGCAGATAAGAAGGATAGTGTAGCTTAGAGATAAAGAGATCCAGTTGAGATGGTTTGGACATAAGAAAATTGGTTTATTGGATAAATAGAAAATGTTCAAGATAAAGTGGAGAGGAGATTTATGGATTTAGTAAAAGAGGACACGGACATTGTTGTTGTCAAATAAGAGGATAGGGTGAGATGGTGATCCTTGAAGGGGAGCCGAAAGAAGAATTAGGTTTCAAATAATTCAGTCTGATTCAATTGTCGTTCCAGAAAATATTTACATAACATGGTGAGAAAGTCAACTTAACAGTTGAACGTTTGCTTTATTACATGGTTTTGTTTACTCCTGCATTATTTTTGTTTGTTTTGTGTTTACAGTGCAATAGCAACCCCATGGTTTGATGCAGTCAGACACAAGATAAATACTTATACACTCAGAGTGTATACTGAGGTTTTTTATGTGCAAAAATGTCATGTCAGGCAATGCAAATATTGTGGGGTAAGCAACAATCTCTGTGTGTTTTTGTGTGGGTGTGTGAGCTTGTTCAATTGTGTGTGTTTCCCTTCTGTCACTAAAGCTGCCGCCATGGTAATGTTGATTTATTCCATCAGTGTTTGATGCAAGTCTCTGGATCCTCTGATGCAATATTTTTTGGTGAGTTTTTAACTGT